CCTTATCTTTATAGTTATCATCCTTGGTGTGACTTTTTTTAAAGAATTTAGCATTTAAATCTCACAATTCTTACTTTTTTAAGAATTTAGTGTTTAAATCTCGCAATTATTACTTTTTTAAGAATTTAGTGTTTAAATCTCACAATTATTACTTTTTTTAAAGAATTTAGTGTTTAAATCTCACAATTATTACTTTTTTTAAAGAATTTAGTGTTTAAATCTCACAATTATGATTGTGTTCTTAGAATTTTGCGTTTACATCCCGCAATTCAAACAATTCTTACCTTTTTCCTAAAATGTAGTATTTATATCTAGCAATTCTGACTTTTTTCTTAAGATTTTGCGTTTACATCTTGCAATTGGGACTTTTATCTTTAAGTTTTGCTTTTTAAATTTCACGATTCTGAATTTTTTCTCTGAATTCTACTGTATTTTGCCCAATCTAAATCCTGAGTCCTGTAAAACTAGTACAAGTAGAGCAAATCAAACTCTTAATCTGGATTCAATTTCCGTAACCAAAACTGTTGAACTGAAAACCAGCAGAGTCCTGAAGAGCAGCAGTAAATGATTCACAGTGAGTTCATGTCTTTGTTCAAGGCCGTCCATTCCTTCACAGACTCGTCGTAAATACAAGCAGCAGTGTTTTATGGGTGTGTAACATACGAGCGGCGCTGAATGACACCAATCACTCGCCGTGTCTCATTCATCCTCTCTACAGCACACAACGAAGATGGGCCGAGCCTCCAGACGAACTGCGGCCGCTTCATACCAAATAAATCAGCCGGAGCTTTATGAGCAGGTGATCTGTGAACAATCACTGGAGCTGTTAGCCATCTGTTGCTGCTTCCACAATCCTGAACAAAGCAGCACAACAATGACTCCACCGGCTAGTGTTTTACACGTGTATCTGTTCCAGATCAGATTTCTGCATTTAACTGGAACGCTAAATGCTTAGATTAACAACGAATAACACTAAAAACACTACTGAGGGTCTTTATTAAAAGGCAAAAGTTACACTACCGTTCACAAGTTTGGGGTCAGCAAGAACATTAAATGTTTTTGAAATAAACCTCTTCTGCTCACCAAGGCTGCTTTTATTTAATCAAAAATACAGTAAAAATTGTGAAATATTATTACAATGTAAAACAGCTGTTTTCTATGTGAATATCTGTTAAAGTGTAATGTATTTCTGTGATGTGCAGCTGTATTTTCAGCATCATTCCTCCAGTCTTCAGTGTCACACGATCTTCAGAAATCATTCCTTTAACTATTAACTATTAAATTGACCAAAAAATAAAAATAAACCTAATTTTCAATGTGAAAGTAACTCGTTATAGCATGTTTTAAAGGGGTGGTTGATTGTGATTTCACTTTTTTAACGTTAGTTAGAGTGAAATGTTGCTGTTTGAGCATAAACAATATCTGCAAAGTTACGACGCTGAAAGTTCAATGCAAACGGAGATACTGTCTTTTAAAATTATAGCAGTTTAATGCCTACAAAAACGGCTCGTAGGGACTACAACGAGTTACTTCCCAGGTTGGTGACATCACAAACCCTGAAATTTACATAAACCCCGCCCCTGGGAACATGCAACAAAGGGGGCGGGGCCATGCCTCTCTCTCTCTTAGATCATCAGCTCCATCAATGAACTGTATTCCAATTATACACTTTGTGTATAGACACAGATATTTTTCACATAGCTACGAGAAGCGTTAAACACAGACGCACACACGGTTGCCGTGGTAACGAGCAATACTTGCTGACAAACACTACTTACTGTTACAAAAATGCTACAACGCAATCATGTCTTCTGCTGTATTACAGGTTTAATCAGGATAAAACCTATATTAGAAGCTAACATAAGCAGTAGCATTTACAAATAACAGCGTATCTAAAAGTATGAGACGACAACAAACAAAAAAACATACCATTAAGAGCTGCGCTTGCACAGGTTTTGCGCGATCCTCTTCACTAATATCCTCTGCATCTCAATCGGGCTCAAATTGATAAGCAATATAGACGATGCCATTGTTTACAATACAACCGGAGTGCATTCTGAGCTGAGGGGCGTGACGTTTCTGGACTGCACTCGGCGGTTTAGCCAATCACAACACACTGAGCCAGCTAACCAATCAGAGCCCATCACGTATTTCTGAGGGAGGGGCTTCATAAAAGCAGGAAATCATCAGAGCGTTTTTAGGAGAAGGGACAGAGCGGTGTAGAATAAAGGTAAATTATGTGAAAAATAATGTGTTTTTAAATTTTTTTATTGAAGCATTAACATGTTAGACTGCATTAGGGCTGTCAAAATGGCTGAAAAAACTAAATTCGAATTTTGTACTTAAATATTATCAATATTCGAATTATATTTGAATTTAAAAAGGCATAAGCAAAATATTTATAATGCACGTTTCTTCAAAGCAATAAAACAACATGACTATCTGTGAAAAAAGTGCATAATGTTTCAAATAAGGTTTATAAACCAAATATAATTACTTAAGTTGCATAAACAGTTAGAAACAAAGCAGCATCATGTATGTATGTATAGTTTAATACAAAGGACCGAAAACCAATCACAAAGAGTACTTTTTCTATTTAAAAACTTGAGATGCAGTGGGATGGGGAAAACCGCCATAAAGTCTCAAGACATGTTTTTAACAAGTTTAACTTACCTTCATTTTACATGGCTTTCTAAACATGCGTCTCTCTTGTGCAAGACGCGAGTGTAAAGGTGATAGATGTCCCTCTAGAAAATGTCTGAAATATGTGTTCTGTGTGAACGGCTAGGTTTCAGTTTCGCCGTAAACAACATCTTCCTAGCATTGATGTTATCTTTTTCCCCAATATTTTGAATCAACAACCAGCAGCGCCGCAGCCAGTGGGTTTAACTGGATAAGCTATGAAAACCATTAAAAGGCAACGACACTTACATCGTCATCGCATCTTGTGTGCCACTGATAAAAGGCTATGATTTTACATTCAAATGTGGATTTTTATTTTAAATTCGACAAATATTCGAAATTCGGAAAAAAAAATTGACAGCCCTAGACTGCACCCCATAAACACAATCAAGCCTAGAAAAAAAGATGTCAATCACCCCTTTAACTCACAGCGGTGAGGTTTACGTACCGTTCATCTGCTCGCTGTCTGATCTCCTCTCTTCTCCGGGCAAACTGCTCATCATCACGGTCAAAACTGCAAATATAGAAGCAAAAGCCAATTCAGAATATTACTGAATACTAGATTAGTACATTAACAATAACACAGGCTTGAGTGAATAACAGCATATTCATGTCATGTCATTTTTTATCACAATTTTATCACCACATTTATGAAAAACCGGACTTCATTTGCGTCCCTGGAGCACAAAACCAGTCATAAGGGTCAATTTTGTAAAATTGAGATTTATAAATCATCTGAAAGCTGAATAAATAAGCCTTCCAGTGATGTATGGTTTGTTAGGATCGGACAATATTTGGCCGAGATACAACTGAACTTGAAAATCTGGAATCTGAGGGTGCAAAAAAATCTAAATATTGAGAAAATCATCTTTAAAGTTGTCCAAATGAAGTTCTTAGCAATGCATATTACTAATCAAACATTAAGTTTTGATATATTTACGGTAGGAAATTTACTAAATATCTTCATGGAACATGATCTTTACTTAATATCCTAATGATTTTTGGCATAAAAGAGAAATGTATAATTGTGACCCATACAATGTATTGTTGGCTATTGCTACAAATATCCCCCAGCGACTCAACACTGCTTTTGTGCTGCAGGG